TTGAATTCCACGCACGATATCTGCTCAATGCTAAATTGTACAAATAATTTTAAAACTGTTTCCTCCTGGACAAATATTATATTGTGATCTTAAAACACTTATAATTTGTAGAAGTTCGTTTATTACACGTCATCCTGTTTACTGAGACAGTTATAATGTAGAAACATCAGTTGGAAATTGCAACAATTTGCTTCTCCTGAATTACCAAGATATGTGTTGGAAAAACTGAGTAGTTTGTGCATTCTGTGAAAAACAACGTTTCAACTGCAACGATCGTATAAACACCGCCTGAAACAACACATGGTGTGTCAGTTAGCGATCCGTTTCCCAGTCGCTAACTGATTTGGCAAAGTCGACGCGTTTTCAAAACTTTCCCATTTACACGATCATACATACATTCTATATTGCTATTGAGCTGAATCAGTCGTAAGTTTACAATGTTTTGTTAGTAATACTAATTAATCTTGATACACTCTAAAAGAGTATTTATAAACTTATTATTACAATTCAGTCTTCACATACAATATGTGTTTTCTGACAACAGAATTAACTTTTTCATATAAACTGGAACATTAAATTGAAACCAATTAATCAAATTCTGTATTATAAAAGTATAATAAATTTGTTAAAATTATTGTAACAAAATTGTGGAACCGGATGGAGAAGAATTTCAAAGAGAATTTTAATTTCAATTGATAAAATTAATCTATGATAAAAATTGTATAAATTATTTATGCCCTTTAGTATTTGCTCTATTTGTAAAATAAATAAATTCACCTCAAATGAGTTTCAATCCTGAATGACGTGTTCATATTATGTTAACGATACACAAAAATTATGCACAGAGTGTTTACTGAAATGTAATGGGCACAGATTATTAACTAACTATATTGTTACTATGTTGTTGACAGTTTTGTATAGCGAAAATAGTTGATATTTTAACCCTTTTATATCATTCCATCCTGGACTCACAGACCACATTTTTTGATGAATAGAGGGTTTACATTTTATGAATAGAGAGGGCTATTTAGATTTACAAGATTTTCAATCAAATTTATCAACAAAATTTTCAGATAAGTTCGCTTAAATATTTTATAATAAACATAATATATTTTATATAATTGTAATCATAAAAAATGAATTATTGCATTTCTAAATCTTTGTGATCACCTATTGAAAATATGTATAATCGAAATCCTTTAAAAGAATTCTCATGAAAAATAACATTTCAGGTTAGGTACATTAAAAAATACAAACATATTTTATAATAAAATGCTACGTATGACATAGCAGCTTCTACTCCACCTCCAGATGCTGTTCCTGTTTTCTATCCACCAACATTAGTTACACCTGGTGTTACGTTTGTAATAAAGGTCATGACATATTTTAAAATAGGGGCCGGTAACATATGTCTTCAGTTTCCAATTGCATAATACACCTTAATGTTGAAAACATTGTTAATTAGGTGCTGATAAAAATAGTAGTAGTAGTAAAAATAGTAGTATTTATTTCAAAATTTATATTTTTTTTTACAATTATTACATCCTTCTGCTGTCTTCTCCTTGTACTTGTAATTAATTAATTAATACTTTTCGAATATTTTTAAGTTGCTTTTATCTACTCCATACGTTATAGAAATTATTATGGATCCTATAATCCTTATTGTATTACTTTTACTTTATGATTAAATGACAGCCCGAGGTATGCAATATTCCTTTCATTCTCTGCGCACTTCAGGTTATTCAGGCAGTTTTTGTTCGTGCGTTTTCTGTCGAAGCTTGCTATTTCTGCCTGCTGAATATTTTGTCCAATTATCCAAGTATTATATAGCAGAGGAGATAGCGAAGAACTTTTCATTCTTGTTTTGCTGCATCACCTGGAGGTACCTACTTTTCAGAAAAAAACTGTTTTATCTAGTTAAAGCCAATCTGAAAGGAGATGGACTTCATTCACATTTGTTAGCAATAGTACTGTAATCTGTCTCTCTTTCTCTTTGCAAGTTCCAATCTGTCAATGAGATTTTCAGTACGTTGTCTAATTCCAAATTGATCCTTCGGATCTTCGCCTTGCGATCACTTCTTCGAATTCTTTCCATAATTTTCGATTACCCGTTCTGCTAAACGGACATAAGAATGCAATACGGGTTTCACCACAATCATCATAATTTGCAATTTTGTATTTTTGGAAAGCATTTTCAGTGACTTGTTTGTGTTGAGTCACTGTGATAAATTTATTAATTGGTTCTTTATTGCCGAACAAGATTCACAATTGATTTCGTAATATTCTGTTTTTTGTATCGTTGATTGTCCCTTGGTATTTTAATCTTAGTATTTTAATAGACAGATACGACTAGAGCTGGAATTCATTTAACGAAATCTCTTCTTTGCAAATCCATCGATTGTGAATGCAGGTACTGTACAAAGCTTTAAATATATATCATGCGAGCATATCATTTGAAAACTAGAAGATGAGTGTTCGTCGTCGATCTTCCATGGCAGTTGTTATTCGTACTCTGGTAATGAGTTATGTACTCATTAATTTATAAGGTGGTATATAGGTAAGTTTATTGTGCTTGACTTTGTCTTGTAAATCTTTTACAATGCATACATTCTTGATGACATGGTTGTAGGAGCAACGTTTTCATCTTTCAATATTTAGTAATAATATTGCAAGCAAGGACTGTAGAATCTAAGAGGACTGCTACATCCTTTGTTCTTTTGTAGTCCACTACCGTTAACGACGATTGTGCCAGCTGACTGGACGTGGCATGTGGTGTAACGTAGTGCACCGTCCTTGGCTGCAACAGCCTTCTATGAAGCTCAAACATGATCATATTAATTTGATCAAATTTTAATATGATGTAATATGCCAATCAGAAAGACTTTTCAAAGATTGATAGTGTATTTTCTTCAACCGTCTATGTTATTTATCACTTACATATAATACCTAGCTAGAATTGAAGAATTACGGCACCTTGGCCCATGTGACGTAGCAATATGGCGACGTTTGAGTTGTTTACTTATTGTGTAATTGTTAATAGTCTTGTCATAGCTGATATTATTATAATCTTTGTCTAAAATATCACCAATTTACCGAACGCGTTTATATTTATACCAAAAATAGACTCCTTTCACCGAATGAATGCTGGAAAGCATTAGCACATACGTATAATTACCCTTAGGTAATTACTTCATCATATAGGAAGGTTTAAATTAGGTAACCATAAAATTAAAGTGATAAAATGTCTAACGTTTACCGATCCTACAAAAATATTTAGAATATTTAATTCTGATGGCACCATCGTCATTTCCGATTTTATTTTTTTGTGTAAACTCGCAAAACTATAGTTTACAAAATAAAATAAATAAAACAGCCAATTAAAATTTCTTTGAATTGAGATGCTGCTCTGTTTACTTCATGTATTCATACGGATTCCAATGAAGTGGATATCCTTTACATTACTAATAGCTTTTCATCTACCTGTTATAGAGTCTTGCACAAGTGTAATAATATTTCCCGATTGGTTATTTCATAACTTGTAATTATCTAACAAAGCAATATATTTTTCAAATATATGTGACGTATCTAACAAAATGAAATAATAAAAACGGCAATCGGCAAAACAGATTAAGAATTTTTGGGTGCTATAAAAAAGTAATGGGTGTATGTAGAGAAAGAATGATTTTATTTCTGAATTGTACAATATATACGATTTAGAAAACGAAACTTTGTAGAACTCGTTCATACATTTCACGAGGTATAGCATTATTTAGCTTCAATATTCCGGTCCCTTAGTTCTAGTAAGTTTAGACGGCCACACTTTGAAACATCCCCACAGAAAGATGTCAGATATGGTTAAATCTGGTGACTGTTTAAACGACCCCCACATCACCTCTCAGAGAGACCAAATGTCCGGCAACAGTTTTTCACAAAGCTGTTAGTGAGTTTCGAGCTGTGTGAGTTATAATGGCATCTTACTTTTCAACAATTTTCTCCATTCTTAGCTGCAGAAAATTTTTGTAATATTTTCACATATCATGCTGAAAAAAGTATGGGCCTATGACGCCAAATTATGATATGACAATCCACACTGCCTAAATTTAGTAGTATTTCGTGAAAAATTTGGAAGTTTGCTGCTGGGCTATATTCAGCCCAGCAGCAAACTGTAGTAAGGTGAAAGTGCACTTCGTCGGTACTAAAGGAAGCTGCATGTAGAGTAATCTGTGCAAGCATTTGCTCACATAAATTTCGGCGATTGGCTTAGTCTCTTGGCTACAACTGTATCAAGAGTTCATTATTTATAGGGATGAAATTTCAAATTGGAATACAGGATCCTTTTTACACTGCGGTCTGGTATCCCCAATACAACAGCATGCCTTCGAACAGACCGTCGTGGTGATTGCTCAATCACTGCTTTCACCAACAGGTATTGTTACACGAAATGCTCAGTGTTGCGACCACAGATCAGTTATTTCAAAATACGTGAGCGAAATAAATGGGGTGACCAAAGGAAGGGAACCATCAACTTACCCCCGTCTGAGTATTCGGCCCTGAAAATCACTTAATTTGTTATACAGTATCCTGTATAAATACTAGTACCACATTAAACCTGGCTCAAAATTTTAAACTGTAAGATAGCTTTTGTAACATTATTAGGTTAATGTAACTTTAATGATTACCGTAATTAATTTATATTCACGTCATAGCAATTATCTTATTCTTGCAAAGTCGACACCCATTTCAAGAACACACCACAGATGCCACTTAAACTGTTGAAGTAACTGATAAAGGAACTCCCATTACATTAAAATGGCCTATTAAAAACTTAGCTGGTTTTTGCAGAAACCCAACGAATTTTATACTTATTAAGCTAAAACGCGCACCAGCTCAAGTTTTAACTTCCGTTCATTTTCAATATTATCCTTCAAATTCCCCTATTAGGGAAAACTAGAATTACTTCGTCGATACTGATTCTATTACTGCTAAATAAATGTCAATACTACTTTGTGTATTATTATATTTACCGAATATTTATTCTTATATACTTATACATCTTATTAATTAGTAATTATGCAAAATGTATTATTGGATTTGTAACTCCTCACTTAAATTATCAACAAACGTAAAAATATTATCAATAACTTCTTGAGCATCTTTTCGGTTGTACACTACATTTTCTCTCATTGTGAGTGCTAATTGAAAGCGATCACCTTTCGAAAATATAGATAATCTAAAACCTTTAAAAGAAATGCCATGAGAATTAATAGTTCCGATTAAATACATTAACAGATACAAACATGTCTTATAATAAAATGCTATGTATGACATTGCAGCTTCTACTTCACATCCAGCTATTGTTCCAGCTTTTAATCCACCAACATTAGTTGCACCAGCTGATATATTCGTAACAAAGATCATGGCATGTTTTAATATAGGAGCAGGTAATAAATGTCCTAAGTTTCCAATTGCATAATACACCTTAATATTGCAATTTTTTTAGATGGGTTCACAATTATTATATTGTTATACTTACCAAGCTGTCAACAGAATATTTAGCTTTATCGAGCTCAATTCCAATAGATTTAACTCGATCTAACATAGTGGTTCCCTTTTCCATAGTAACTGGAGTATTAATCATAACTATTGCTGAATCATTCGTAAGTTTACTGTAATTATATGTTCCGTTAACAATACTAACTAAATCTTCATTAATCGGTCTGAATAAAACTGCTGTTTGGCACTTATCCATAGTTTTTCCCCTCCTCGCTAATACGTCCGCTAAACTAGCAGTTAACCCCGCAATTAATATTTCTGTAAATCCTACCCCTAGTTTGTTTTTGATCTTTTTTACCAACGGCACATATTTTATTTCGTCTTCAATATAAAATACAATATTACGTTCGCTGTTTGGTATATCAAATTTGGGTTCATCTCGTCCGCAAGTTAACGGATTTCGATAAATATAAGCATTGTCAAATGAAAAATTCGGTTTTGTAGTATATTTCGGATTAAGCTTCATAACTTCGGGATTTTCTTCGCGAATCATAAAATTTTTTAATAACCCTATGAGCGAAACTCCGTCAGCCAAACAATGTCTGAAGACTAACATTATTGCTGTTTGTTTCATTGTTTCACTTTTTTTATTCCATTTAACGGGTTGCGTAAATATCCTACCAAACCACAACCTTTTTTGATTGATAACATTGATCATACAATTCTTTTGAATATATTCTAGTAATTCATCGCGGGTTAAATATTCTTTATCATTGACTTTAGCATAAACTAAGCAATCATTATCAGTTACTTGGTTCTTTATGTAATACGGGTACCCCAAACATTTTTCGACGGCACATGATAATTTGTAAAAACTGTTATGTACGTTTTTAGCCATTTCTTCTAATCGTTTATATAGGACATTATTATCTTCATTATGATTCAATATCACCATAACCGAAATCGATACCTTCTCCTCAGTCGATTCTAATTGTGCATCCTGTCCTTTTAATCTGCCACCATAATTCTTACCATATTTCCACATTAGCCACAAATCCATGCAAAACAAAAAGGTTTGTAATGTAATATATAAGAGAATCGAAGATAACATGGTTGCAATTGTCAATGTAAATAGACATAATTGTATTAGTAAACCAACTGGAAATGAACTTTTCTTAACTAAACCTGGAGGTATTCCCAGTAGATTCTAAAATATTATTTTATGTATTAAAAGAATTAAATTGAAACATTAACACGCACCTTGATCAGACAATATACTGATATAAATTGATAAAATAACACTTTCATCTTACTCGTACCGTCTCTGCGTTATACTAAATGGTACAAGGCTGTTATACATGTCGTATATACTGTAATGGTTAACGTAATTAATTAAAGTCCAAACCAATTTATATATCTAGATCGACGTACCTTGATAATTTGGTTGTAATTATGTACATAGTTTGAAACACGAATCAAATATCATTATAAAATTAATATAGTATAAAGTGCATCTGTAAAGTAGTATTTTGGTTAAAAATGTTTGAAACAGGTCAAAATAGGTTTTTTAAATTTTTTATCTTTATGTTGAATTTTTTTTGCCATAATTGATAAAGTTATGATGTCATTGATGTTTTTTTTAAATACAATTGGTATATTTATTACAGATTTATTAGCTCATTTTTATTTTGAAAATTTTCGAGAAACATAACATTAATGTTTAATTAGTTCCAATTTGTGTGAAATGATCAAAATAGTCGTAGCCATAAATAACCATGGTAATCAATGAATTTAGTCATACATATATATAATAATGCCTTCTCTTGATTCCTCACTTCACTTGTGACTTGCTTTTCAGACATCCCTCAGGAAAAAGTACAGCGGAATCAAACCGGATGAGATTGGTGGGCGTTCAGTTATTAATTCGTTGAAACTAACAGCCATATTTTAATTCCACCACATTATGGTGGAATATTATCCGGAATTTGGTCGTTATAGAAGAAATGAGTTCGTTTTGTACAAAATCCAAAATATTTGTCCCTAGTGATTGATCCCTTAAAGAAGTTAAAGTCCAGAAAAGGATCCTGTGCTATTTGTATCCACACTCATCTTTTGCATGTAAAATCTCGCTTCTTATACAGTAGTGTGTAAAATCTGTTTTTCATTTGGATTTTGATGGCCCAATACCCAATACCGCCGAAAAACCAAAGCGTTTTTGCCGATGCTTTCATTGTGATTGAAAATTATTGATATATCCTTGCATTCTTCTAACTAAGTCATCTTGTGGATGATATTTACTTATTGGACTATTGATTATTATGATTAGACAAATTCGACACAAAATCCTTTACAGTCATAAAAATAGTAAAAAACATGTGTTCTAAAAACTTCCCTCGCTTTGATGCCTTGTTCACAGGCTTTGTGGTTGTTAGCAACAACCGTCTACCATTAGTTATGCCATAACCTCGAAATTCCCAGAAATATCTTCAGTACCTTTTTTTTAGGACTGTCGTTTGCTGGTGCTATACGTGGATATATCTTGTCGATTTTCCAAGTAGTCTCATCTACCATAATTTCGAATGTGCCCGAATTTCCTGCAGGGATATATTTCAACGTTCTGTGGATCTGTCTTAAATGTTTTCGTCAAATCCTCTCTTATTGTCGATCTGGGTTTCCAAATGATTACATTGCGTACAACGTCTTGGCTTCTGACTGCCTTATCTTCTTCAGGAAGGTTTCATTTAAAGCTTCAGCTACCCATAGTGAGGCTTTCTCCTGCATTACCCTTATCCTCTTTTAACATTTTTTTACTGACTTGTGTTCATTCTTCTATATTGTAGATCCCTCAATTGGCTCCATTTCTTTTTTACAGCACTTTTCGTTTTAATTGTACTTCAGTTTTATAAACTGCAGAACAATTTTAGCCAGTGAATCTGCATGCATAGAGTTCAAACACTCGATCCTCCAAAAATCTCCACCAACCTAGAAAAGTGACATTAAAGTAATTTATATTCTGTTTTGGCGATTTTGATTCTCTTAATTTCTTTCTCTTTCTTCTTATATATATCGATATAATCTCGACGACACCTACAGTGGAAACTATCATCACATCTTCTGACGTTGTGATCTTGACATTACTGTTCCTGTTATACATCTTCACTTGTTTTTTTTTGCATTTGCAGTATTCTTTGGTATTCGACCTCCTTAAGTGAACATGTTGCTTTCACATTACTGTTACAGTTCATTTTCCCATATTTACCTACCTATTTCTTGGATTACCCTTATCCAGTTATACATCACAAGGCAAACAATTCAGTCTGTTTCTTCGCTGAAATTAATCTAGTCTTTTCTAACGCATTTTATCCTTTACATTTATGCAGAGCATAACCCTTCGTTGCGACAGTTCCTTTTTTGCTATTCATTACTATTTGTTGGATTTTTAGGGCTACTTCTGGCTGATGTTGTAAGCAACCCGACGCATTCTTTTGTTTCTAGCTGATGATGTCTATCTCTGCATTTCATATTCAGCCAAATATCTCTGGCTGCATCTGTAAACAGTTGGTATCTAAAGCATCGTCTTGCATCCAGTTATTTCTTCTTTGATTTTCTTGCCGGCCTTAATAGGCACATTTCTTTAATATTGAAATTTTTCTCTCTTGTACTACTATTCTGAAGTCTTCTATGATTTGTTTCCTTAGGATACTCTCAAAACTTCTTATTTTTCCAACATTTTCAGGTTTTGCAGAGAATATTTCGATCTTTTTGCTAGTGTTATTGTTTTACACTATTTTTACGTCAACTTCTTTTCCCATTTCCACGATTATCTATAAGCCTATAGATGAAGGAGGTTTACATAGACAGGTTTTTCCATTTCTTTATTATTATCTTTTACCTTTATTTCCGTTTTCACTTTCTAAGTAGTTGGCTGAGTAAATCAAATCTTCCACATTTCATCAAATCTCTTTTACCTTTTTTCATTGACCGTTTCGATGCTTTGTCATCAGTTTGAGTAACTTTTCTTTTCTCAATTCCTTTGTGCTCTTCATTCTTTATAAATTTCGTGAGATCACCGAACTTTATGGAGTGAAGCTTATTCATTTTTACACCAATCGGGAAGCCATACTACCTACTTACTCATCTTTAAAAAATCTAGTTATATTATACGTTTGTTCGCCTTCTACTTTCCATAATCAGCCCTTAAAAGTCTTCTATTTTTGTTCGTTAAAGCTTCGTCAACACTCCTTGACTGTAGTCTGTTTACCAATCAACGGCATTAATGCTATTCGAAGTTGTAGCACACATAATGCTGTTGCCTATAAATCGTGTAATTCTCTGTCAAATGTAGTAGGATCGCTACAATGTAGTATAAAACTCATCATAATTATGTACATGTAAATTTGTTTCCAGAGAAAAAAACCTTAATGCTTACTTGGAAATAACAACAAAGTCTGTTTTTTATATCTGGAGAATTAATCTTTTATGAGTAGGTATTGATTATGTGATCATGAATTGTGAGGGGGATTATGAATTCTTCACTTTTTAGTGTTATTGTCCATTACTCAGGCGCACTTGTTAGTAGTAGAGTTCACGATTCTTTTTATAGAAGTCATTGGTTTGTTTATGCACTTCGTTAACCTATTTATTCTGATGAATACCTTTCCATTGCTGAAGTACAAATGAGTGCGGTACCTTTGGGAAAGTTCTCTTTGGCAATATAGCAAATAATTGAAACAATAAATATCATTGTGACACGGTATAATCGGTGATAATCGGACGATAATCTGATTGCTTATAATGCTGATTATGTTTTAAGCTAATGTAGTAAACTATACAGGTTGGTAAAATAATTGCTTGATTTAATTTTGGTAGCGAATTGGTTATTGATAATGTCCGACAGAATATCCTCCACATATTTTATACAATATACTAAGGAGACAAAATCATCTTTTGAAGTTTGTTGATGTTATAGATACACTCTATATAACACTTACAATTATTAATTAAAGGCTGAACCATTTTGCTGCTAAATCGACGAACATAAAAATGTGCTTGTTTCCATTAAATTAATTCCAATTACGTACAGATTGAAATACAAATCAATCATCATTATAAAATTATTATAATGGTGTATAATAGTTTGCTCAAATGCAAACAATTTTTGAAACGCAATGACCTTAAAAATAAAGTGGCTAATTAAAATTTGTCTTTTTTTAACGATGACGTCAATAATTTTTTTTTGTAATTTTTAGCTCGTATTTAGTGTACCATGTATTCTAATAGGGCCATCTTCAGCTTGTTCAGTGATTTCTGGGAGAATTGCGTAGAGTCTGTGATGATGCTTTCCACGACCATATTTAATGCAAGTTGTAGCATCATTTTTGCTGATCTTTTTTGAAACGTATGTAATTGCAATTGCAATCTTCGCTAAGTAGCCTGGATTTAACTATTTTTTTAACAGTATTAAGGTGTCTTTGGTGAGGCACCTTTTACTGCCTTCCTGCTTTTTCCTTGCCTCAAAGTTACGTAAGTCATCAGTAGAGCCGCTACAATAAAATTCAACGTCACTACTTAACGCTTGCCACATTTGACACTACTAGCAAATTCAAGCACTAAAACTTAAAAATAACTAACTTTAGTGCCTCACTAGAAATAAACACTGGCGTTCAAGGAAATATCTGATTGATGTTATAGGCCGACGCAACTCCAGACCTTACATTTCTCTTACCTCAAGCATACCATGACTATCTCGATTTATACGTGGTTAATGCTCAAACAATTACAGTATCTGCGCGCTGATTTTGCACCAAAGACTGTAAATGGTTTGTAAATGCAACAAGCGCATAATTACGTCAATGATGTCAATACAACTAGTAGATTTCTTATGTTAATGTTATAATTTCGAATTTAAAACTTGCTTGTTACTTTGGTGGTTTTTTCTTGATGATCAATTACTTTTTACATGTTTCAAGTTATGAGTATTGTGAAAAATTATTAGTATTCTGAAAATCATGTCCAGTAATAAATTTATCTGGTGTGTTAATTTTTTAGGACTTTGAGTCATCCAACTCAAAATCATTTTTGACGTTCAATAATAACTTCTTCGGCTTAAAAATAAACGTGAATTTTTAATTGGATTGGAATTAGAGTCCATCTTAAGGTAGAAATTTTAAATTAATATTACACCTTAATTTAAAAAAATATATTTATTTTAATTAATCACAACAATTATTATAAATAATATTAAATAAGAATTTTTCTAAAACTCTAACTTTGTTTCTCAATCTCTTTATTTAATTGATCGATATATTTGAAAACACCATCAAGAACTATTTGACATTCTTTCCTATTTTTTAGAACACCTTCCTTCGTAGTTAAAGCCAATTGGAATCGATCTCCTTTCGTTACAATTGCAAATCTGAAAGCTATATAAAATCGCATTTTAATAAACATTCGAAATACCATCACAAAATTATAATACCAGTGTCATAACAATAAGGGAGATATGATAATCCTGATTCAACTTCATATCCGGCAATAGTTCCATCTCTCATAGCTCCAACGTTACTTGCGACAGCCGACATTCTCATCATGAACATCGTGGTACTTTTCATAATTGGGTGAGGGATATAGTGTCCATATTTTGTTAATGTGTGATTAAACTTAATTTAAAAATTGTTGAAATAACGATACACTTGAAGATAGGATATAGTACTTACCAAAGCATCTACAGACGTTTTAGCTTTTTTAGCTTCTAAATCCATTGCTTTAATTCTATCGATCATTGTCGATCCTTGCTTCATAGTTACAGGCACTCTTATTATAAACGCAGTAAAATTATTCGATAAATTATTGTAATCGTAAGTTCCATTAATTATTTTAACAAAATCATCATCGTAAGGTCTAAATAAAAGACCCATCGTATATTTATCCATAGTTTTTCCTCGCTTAGCTAAAACTTCGGCTAAACTTGCTGTTAAACAGGCTGTTAATACTTCAGTAAATCCTACACCTAGTTTAGACTTTATTTTCTTTACCAATGGAACATAATTAATTTCGTCTTCAGAATTGATAGCAATTTGACGTTCTCCTTTTTCTGTGTTAAATGTGTCCTCATCTTGTTCACAAGTGAAAGGATTTCTATTCATATGAACATCATCTAACGACAAACTTGGTTTTGGAACTTTAATATCAACTTTAGGATTTTCTAACGCATTTTGGCGATATAAAACTTTTTGAACCAATGCTATCAATGAAATTCCATCGGCTAAACAATGTCTAAAAACCCACATAATAACCATTTGTTTATGTTTTTCACTCTTCTTATTCCACGAAACAGGTTGCGCAAATATCCTTCCGTACCAAAGTTTATCGCCGTTTATTACGTCTTTAGAATAGTTCTTTTGGATATAATCCATCAAATCATCTTTAGACAAAGTTTTATTGTTATTTACTTTAATCACTTCAACACAATCTTCCGCTTTTGTGTGTTTTTTAACGTAATAAGGATATCCCAAACATCTTCGTACCGTAGAAGATAATTTGTGAGAAGACCCATGGAATTTCATGAGTTCATTTTTGACTCGTTCAACAGCCACTTCTTGATCATCACTATGATTTAAAACGGCCATTGCTACTATTGGAAGTTTTTCATCGGTAACATCAAATTGAACATCGTGTTTTCGTAATCTGCCTCCATAAGATTTACCCCATTTACAGATTAAGTATAAATCTATTCCCCATAACACTATTTGAATTAATAATGCAATGACATAAAGAAGTAATAGTATTATTATTGCCAATGAAACAAGAGTTCCTTGAATAATAAATCCTATTGGAAATGATTTCTTAGATATCATTCCAGGAGGTATTCCAAGAAAGCTCTAAAAAAATGATTAAAAACATTTTTTAAATTAATACATCTTAAATTCTTACCTTAATTAGAGCATACATTGAAATAAAAGAGTGTAATAATAATTTTAGCATGTTTTCTGGATAAATTCTTATGCAAACTGCAACGAGTATTCGCAAAAATTTATTTAAGTAATTTGCACGTCGTCAATGAAATTTTAATGTTTTGTCGTAATCACTGTAATAGTTATGAATTTCGAATGTTCGTAATTGAACTTGTACCTCTAAACTCAGACCTATCATAATCACCGCAAACTACATCATATCTATTACATTGTATGACTTATCATAAAATAATACTAAATGCTAAAAATTGCAAAAGATAACGATATCGATAAGAATTTTTTTTATTATAATTTATTTACATTAAAATTTAAAGGGGGTCAAATAAACCGAATTTATAACGATTTAATTAATCGACTTTTCAAGTACCTCTCTAAACTAACTTCGGAAAATCATCGTAAAACACTCGTAAATTTAATAATAGATCATCGAAAGCTGAAGCGCCTCTGGTGGAATATGTTTTATTGATTTTGAGTTTACCACGCTAATGAGAAACGTTTATAAGTGACTTGCAAAATTTTGAAACATTAAAATAAATTTTCAATAGCGCAAATCGACTAAAGTTATTCACTATTGTGTTATTAACGTTATTATTGATCGATTAGTATGTTTCATAATAGATTAAAATCTGATATCAAGATAACTAAAGTGGCACATGGAAACCATTTTTATATTTATAAGTTGAAATAGTTTATGTGACATGGTTCTTGTTTATCAAATAATCAAAGTTTCCCAAAAAAGCTGTTTATTTTATTAAAATCTTCAAAACAAGATTTCAATTTTCAGTTTAGTTTTATGATAGTAAACAATCTGTATCCGGGAGACAAGTATGCTATAAGCCTCGTCTATTAATAAGAATTCTTGAGATGCAAAGCGACAAGACAAGGGTAAACGTGGCTAAATATAGAAGCGATGCCCCGTGTGTAGTGAGTGGTTTTTGTGACCAGAGGAAGGTCCCGAGGTCCGTGTCCTGCCATAGATCGACCTACTTCCGCTGCTGTCGTCACTGTCCTCATTCACTGCATCGTTGCTGGACGAGGATGGCACGAAAGAGAAACGGGATACTCGTTGACGTCACGACGCCGAGCGTCCAATAAAATCCTGTTTCCGACCGCAGTCGTATTTTTTTTTAATTTTGTATAATTATGATCGAATCGCACATAGTCCATAGATAATGTTTATTAACTTATATTATTTAATAAAACATAATTCAAAAGTGGAATAGTTGAAGATTTTTCCAACAGGGCCAAGATAAAATAAAAATCAATAAATGTGTTCATACAGAAAATTATTTTTATACATTGATGTGGACTCAATGAGGTGGACATTAAAATATCTTGTATTAAAAAATGCTTGTTTATTACCTTTATAAAGTTACCCCCATTTCTTTTTTTAGTTCCGAATTAGATTACATGTATAGTTTTATGAATATTTATTCATAGCTTTTTTTTATTCATTGACCAGCTTTATCATCAACATCTCAATGAAAATGAAAGTCTAAATGTTTAATTCAAAATTTTTTAATTAACTGCGTACGTTGCTCAAACAAGTCCACTATGGGAGTATAATTGAACATTATTTTAAGCAAATTGACGTAACAACTGGTATAATTACATACACAGAATAATTTTGATCTTTGTTAATATTCCCGAATAAGAATATGATATTTACAAACAATTAGGAACTAATTTTCCAGACTTCGATGATTTTGGTGACATCCTAAATAGTCGTTCCAAGCTCACAGATGATTCTCGGTTATTTTGTTAAAATTTGTCATCAAAGAGAATCCACAAAAGTGAGTCAAAGGTTAAAATTAAGAGAATATGGTGTTCTTACGCAGTTCTTAATACAGTTCTACACAAACTGTTCTTCAAAGTGCTCTTCTAGGACTTCAAGCACTTTATTTGTCCAATAGGTTTATGCTCCGTTCTATATGACCGACATCTTTTTGACATCTAGATCACTTTTGATGATAGGCAAGAGATCATTTCCAAAAATTTAGAATGTATAGTTCAGCAGTGATTTTAATAAATATCGCCATGATTGTTCTGCGAACTGTTACAATACTTAGAGCAATTGCATTCTGCATGACCTCGATCGAAAATTTCCGTTAAGTCATAATTGGGCTGTTATTGTTCGAAAAGTCGATTCGTCGGTCTTAATTATTTCTTTCATTTACTATTTTAGCTATCTTCTTTCATCTTTTCGTCTTATTTAAAATTTCAGCCCCGCAAGAAGTTAACGGAAACAAGGTTGAAAGAAAAAAGGAGACAAGACTCCTGGAATTCCCTCTGTTTTGCTGTTTTCACTTCTTTCTTTCATAAAATATTTATACCAGAAAGAAGATAGAAAAAAGCCAATCTTCCTTCTGACATTTTCTGTTTATATACATATAGATTTTATACTTAGTTTTCGTTGGTCTATTATATCTTACACCTGACACTTCTATAAAAATTTAAGCCGAAGCACTGCCAAGCAATGAAGAACAATGTAACAAAAAAACAAAGTACTTTCGAGTTTTTACAGAAAAAAAAGCAAAGAACATTCGCTGCTTTTTGCGCACTTATAGGTTACTCTCTGATTTCAATAAACATTTATGCCAGAAAGACGACTTCTTTCTGGGTTTAGACATATTTAGGCTAAATGCAAGGCAGAAAGACGACAAGTAAGGCAAAAGAAACCAGATCTTGGCCTATTAACTTATTGCAGTTCTGTTTTATTACTGGTTAAGAAATAAATTTTGTGTTTTCATTAGGCATTATGACCTAATTCGGGGATATGATCCGTATTTAACGAGACCCAAGACTTCGCATGAGGTATAGTTAATCGAAATTGATTAAAAGATTATGTTGTTATAGTCAAATGTATGAAATATGTGAAACCATAACTAAGAATCTAATTGGGGGCAGAAAAAGAATTGTAAGTAACGTCACATGAGTATGTTTATTTATTTTATACATGAATAGCTAAATAAAATGACAATAAGAAACATTTAACTTCAAAAGTTTTATCCTAACACGTTGTTTACCACCTCTACATTTTTCTTCTATCTACTTCAATCTACAATTTTCTAAAGTATATCCTCTTCAGATCCCAGGTCCATTTTAATGGACACAACAAATATATATTTTTTTTAAATTTCAAAAAATTTATTTAAGCTAATTGACCTCTGTGAAACCGTTGGTAAAAATTTCAAAACATTCTGTCGAAGGGTTTTTTGTGGGATCTGAAGAGGTTATATAAATTTAAAATTACCCGATATATATTTCCTTAAGAAACCCTTCAAGTACGAGTACGTACATTTCTTATAAATATTTTTTAGATCAATAAATTTTTTTAGTAATAAAAAAGTTATTCATAAATTTTAAATTCATAAATCACAATTTATGTTTAAAGGAAATACGTAAACCAATTATAGTACAACCATTAAAATTTCGTTTCGTCATAAATTTAATTGTAATTCCACACTATTAATATAATGGCATGTGACCCTGGTACTTAGAAAATACGTTCTCCGGTCATATAACACTCAACGTACTTTTAAATATAGATATAAACAATTTGTGATTTAAATTGTTGGAGAAAACATGACGATGACTTTTCGGAAATTTAAATAAAAAAATACCATTGAGTTAAAATCATTAACATTTCCATGTTAATGGTATTTATTTAATTTAAATTGTTAAGTTTAAAATTACAATAAAATGTTGTTAATAATAATAATTTTTGGAATTTTTGGGCTCCACGCCTTTTAATTGAATCTTTTGCCAATTGGCTAGTGTTACCTGAGTGTACTTGATGTAGATTTAATACAAATCAAAGCCACCAAATCAATAGGGTATAAATCATACAAAAGTCTTATCGTGAATTTCATTTACCTTACAATTAAATCGGTACACATTAAAGTATTTCGTGATATATCTTAATGATTACTATTCTCTATTGCTTTAATATCGTGTATTTTACTATAATGCATTAGTTCTGCTACTAGAAACCTGTTGGTGATCTTTTATAGCGTTAGTCACTTCTCTCCAAGCAAAGGGGAATTTACTTAAGTTAATAGAAGGGTACAAGTGCTGTCTATGACTCAAACTCTATCCCTCTCTACATTGTAATCATATTAAGATAACCAGTAATTTTATAATAGCTGAAATATGGAATTGAATATTCATCAATAGGTCTATTCCACATTGCTTTTAATGCAACTGTGTTTTACACAACTTATACACTTCTGATTGAATCAAAAGAATTTTAGAATGTATTGTGTTTGTAATAATAATTAACAGCTTTCTTAATGAGTTTATTAACACAGCTTATAATCATTTCATCATCATCATCATAACATTTCTTTCCCTTCGGGTTGCGGAGTCGATTTTAAACGATACCAGTTTATTTTATGCATGCAGCTATTTATTTCTGAATTTGTTTACTTACTTAATCGTTGCCAAATATTTGGAAGATTTTTTTTATCACCGGTTACACGCAGCATCTCAAGTAACCGTCCGTATCCAACGTAGTACTTAACTTTGAACATTTGTTGTATATGTTTTAGAGTTATTTATATTTTCATTATTACTATCATTTTTGTCTATATTTACATAGGAGTTTATATTGTAGTTATATAATATTTCCTGCAGGCTTCCTACTACGGTCCTTCAACAATATTTAAGTATACATCCTTGCACTTCTCGTATTTAATACATTTTTTTAAGATAAATTCATTTTTCCATTGCATTCTTATATTAATGAATATTTATTATGTTTTTGACGTTTTATTATTTATACGTACATTTATTTTCCACAATCTTTACTGCCGATTTCTGAACAGTTCAAGTCAA